TGGATATCCTAAGGTTAGAACGTCTATCAAGGTGGGATATCCTAAGGTTAGAACGTCTATCAAGGTGGGATATCCTAAGGTTAGAACGTCTATCAAGGTTGGATATCGTAAGGTTAGAACGTCTGTCAAGGATGGATATCCTAAGGTTGGAACGTCTATCAAGGTGGGATATCCTAAGGTTAGAACGTCTATCAAGGTGGGATATCCTAAGGTTAGAACGTCTATCAAGGTGGGATATCCTAAGGTTAGAACGTCTATCAAGGATGGATATCCTAAGGTTAGAACGTCTATCAAGGTGGGATATCCTAAGGTTAGAACGTCTATCAAGGATGGATATCCTAAGGTTAGAACGTCTATCAAGGTTGGATATCGTAAGTTTAGAACGTCTGTCAAGGATGGATATCCTGAGGTTAGAACGTCTATAAAGGATGGATATCGTAAGGTTAGAACGTCTATCAAGGATGGATATCCTAAGGTTAGAACGTCTATCAAGGTGGGATATCCTAAGGTTAGAACGTCTATCAAGGTGGGATATCCTAAGGTTAGAACGTCTATCAAGGTTGGATATCGTAAGGTTAGAACGTCTGTCAAGGATGGATATCCTAAGGTTGGAACGTCTATCAAGGATGGATATCCTAAGGTTAGAACGTCTATCAAGGTGGGATATCCTAAGGTTAGAACGTCTATCAAGGTGGGATATCCTAAGGTTAGAACGTCTATCAAGGATGGATATCCTAAGGTTAGAACGTCTATCAAGGATGGATATCCTAAGGTTAGAACGTCTATCAAGGATGGATATCCTAAGGTTAGAACGTCTATCAAGGTTGGATATCGTAAGGTTAGAACGTCTGTCAAGGATGGATATCCTAAGGTTAGAACGTCTATCAAGGTGGGATATCCTAAGGTTAGAACGTCTATCAAGGTGGGATATCCTAAGGTTAGAACGTCTATCAAGGTGGGATATCCTAAGGTTAGAACGTCTATCAAGGATGGATATCCTAAGGTTAGAACGTCTATCAAGGTGGGATATTCTAAGGTTAGAACGTCTATCAAGGACGGTTACTCTCCAAACGCCTGTCAGTCAAGATGATCGTGTTCCATATGAGCTAAGAGTGCTTAATATTATTGATTGTTTGAGCGAGTTAGTAAGTGACTGAGAGAACAGTATGTCAGCAAAATGACACTGTGATACAAATATACGAAGTTCAATACATTCATCAGGATATCTAGTCTGATTAGGGTATACTATCTACATTAAAGCCAAATGTGGACTATATGAACTCAATTTTTGATAATAATAATAATAAAAAAAACAGCGCTTAATCTTGCAAGTGGAGCCAAATTAAAAGTAAACTCAATTCACAGAGTGTGGATATTCTTAAGCATCTAGTTTAAATCACATACTTCAAACTAAAAAAAACAAAACAAAAAAGACACATCCCTCTTGATGCACTGTTATAAACAGAGTTGTACCATGCGTCAGACTACAAGGATTATGAAAAGAAGAAAATTATTAAATAGCATGAGAAATTGTATAAAAAGTAAGTACCTTACCTGTCGTATTCAATGAAATGTGCATGAAAGAATGATTGCTGCCTAAATACACGAATTATATATATATATATATATATATATATATATATATATATATATATATATATATATATATATATATATTATGAAATGAACAAAGTCCGACAATTATTTTAAAGGCTTTTTTATGTTTTATACATTCTTTTTTTATAGATACAGAGCATTTACTTAAATATTTGTATCTAAAAAAAAAGAATTTATAGAAAAATGTCTTAATATATATATATATATATATATATATATATATATATATATATATATATATATATATAATTTGGTATATACAGAATGAATTCAATAAACAACAATTACTATTCTTAAAAAGAGTGCTCAATACAAAGTAGAGTAAATATAATTATTTTTTATAAAAAAAAATTATAACATAAGTATGTTATAAAATCACTACAAAATTAGCCATTTTGTTTCAATACAATCTGTGTCTTATCAAGTGATGATGTTGAAAAGAAAATAAATGGTTTTAAAAGTTTCAGATTAATTAACGATCCTACACTAGGAAACATTGTTACAAAAGCTAGAATAACCAATCAAATACGAAGTATAGAAAGATTCAAAAAGTTTGACAACGATGTTATAATTAATTATATATATATATATATATATATATATATATATATATATATATATATATATATATATATATAATTAATTATATATATATATATATATGTTATAATTAATTATAATATATATATATATATATATATATATATATGCATAAACAAGGATAAAAATTAAGTTTTAATACAAATTCAAATTATATATATATATATATATATATATATATATATATAGAGAGAGAGAGAGAGAGATTTAAGAGGCCAGTTAATAAACTTTTAAGAATAAAAAGCCAACAAAATGATAACAGTACTGACAATAAGATTGATGACATTTATTATATGTTAGCCTTTTAACGCAATTGAAGCACGAAGAGAAAGAATTTTCGAACACCCCCGTGTCCTTTTTCAACGAGATGAGGAATAAACAAAGAAGTGGGACTCACTATTCCGGGGAATGTTGCTGTTGTAGGTTAGAGGGATCCATGTAGAAACTATATTCTCTGAGTAAATCCAAATCCCTGTTTAATTCCTCAAAGTGTGTTTTTTATTTTGAAAATATACTTCAACTCTGACCTGCGTCTTTCTTGTCGGCTTTTGAATGAAGACGCTAAAATCATGCATCTGATGTCTTCACTGCTATGGAACAATTGGTTGAAGTGTACAGCAATAGGAAATTGTTGTTTTCTTTGATGATTTTTTTAAGGTTATTGTACCGAAGACGAAATTCCATGCCTGTTTCTTCAGGATAATTTCCTTTTTTGCATTTGTGACAGAAAATATATATAGTAATATATTAGTATGTCCGGGGAAAAAACATTTTCCCATGAACGAAATGATCATCTGTATGCTGTAAATCGTTTGGATCTCATTAATAGTAATTCACTTATATGGTATATAATAAAAATTATATTGAGCTCTCTTTTGTGGATCAGTTTTAATATTTTATATTGAAATGATCTACATGGATTATAACCACGGATTTTTAAACCTATATATATATATATATATATATATATATATATATATATATATATATATATAACGAAATGAATATCTCGTCACTCTTACCAACAACAGCAAACATTTGAATTTGGGTTGCTCTATACCGCGCTAGGGAGCATCGCAAGGGAACCATTCAAATTGAGTTATTCGGCTAAGCATATTATGTAACGCATCGAAAGAGAGAGAATAAAATCAGACTATTACAGAAAATGGAAAGCGTCCTAGGAGGAATGATGTAGGAATTATTTTTTCAATATTTACCATGCAAAAGAAATAAAAGTAATGAAATAGAGGAATATGGATTCAAATCTTGTAAACCTTCCCCCACAATACGAACGATTATTGCATTTTGAAAGTGACATGGTATAAATGATAAAAAGGTGAAGTTCAGACAGTACAATAAGAAATTGCAGAAGAATATAAAAGAAGATGCACTAAAAATAATAAATTCGGATTAATAATTAAGGCAGACAAAAACGGTAATTATTACAAAACGAGCGGGAATCTACGCATAGAATTCTGTGACGTTCACATTTACGAAATGAGAATAATTCCAAGATTTTTGGTAATTTTTTATTCCGAGGGTTGGAGTTATTGCGGGGCAAGCTAAACAAATTTTGATTTAAAATTTATAATTTCAAAAGAGTGCCAAAAATTTAATAAAAAACAAACTTTGATTTAAAATTTATAATTTATTGGGGTGAATTTATTTTTGCGATAATGTAACTTTACATTATTTGGGGTGAATTAACAGAAAAGATCCTATCTATTCATCTATCTAAGTATGTTTATATGTGTGTGGGGGTGGTTGGCTGTATATGTTATTGAACTTTTCTCTCATGTTCACAATCATTACCCTATTTCTTTCATTTGAATTCTTTCTTCCTCTTTGACACTCTCTCTCTTTCTCTCTCTCTCTCTCTATCTCTCTCTCTCTCTCTCTCCCCTGCTGCATTTATTGCTTGATGTACGTGTACGTCAACTCGTTTTTTCTACATCAGTGAGCTCTAGAACCTGTTTCTTTCTTTCTTTCTTTCTTTTTTTCTTTCTTTCTTTCTCAACCACTTCTTTTACTTCCTTTCTTCCTTTCTTTCTCAACCACTTTTAGGTCATTTCTTCCTCCCTTTCTTTCTTTCTTTCTTTCTTTTCTTTCTTTTCTTTCTTTCTTTCTTTCTCCCTTTCCTTTCTTTCTTTCTTTCTTTCTTTCTTTCTTTCTTTCTTTCTCAACCACTTCTTTTACTTCCTTTCTTCCTACATTTCTTTCTTTCTCAACCACTTTTAGGTCCTTTCTTCCTCCCTTTCTTCCTCCCTTTCTTTCTTTCTTTCTTTCTTTCTTTCTTTCTTTCTTTCTTTCTCTATCCCTTTCTTTCTTTCTTTCTTTCTTTCTTTCTTTCTTCCTCCTTTCTTTCTTTCTTTCTTTCTTTTCTTTCTTTCTTTCTTTCTTTCTTTTCTTTCTTTCTTTCTTTCTTTCTCAACCACTTCTTTTACTTCCTTTCTTCCTTTCTTTCTCAACCACTTTTAGGTCATTTCTTCCTCCCTTTCTTTCTTTCTTTCTTTCTTTCTTTCTTTCTTTCTTTCTTTCTTTCTTCCTCCCTTTCTTTCTTTCTTTCTTTCTTTCTTTCTTTCTCAACCACTTCTTTTACTTCCTTTCTTCCTACATTTCTTTCTTTCTCAACCACTTTTAGGTCCTTTCTTCCTCCCTTTCTTTCTTTCTTTCTTTCTTTCTTTCTTTCTTTCTTTTCTTTCTTTCCTTTCTTTCTTTCTTTCTTTCTTTTTTCTTTCTTTCTTTCTTAGTACTTACCTTCTACATTAACCTTCTTATCTCTAATGTTTTCTTTCTTTTTTTTTGACTCCTACTCCTGTATATTTCACTCTCTCTCTCTCTCTCTCTCTCTCTCTCTCTCTCTCATATTGAATTCCTCTTCTCGGAATCTTCATTTCATTGCTATTAAAAGCTCAACTATCAACTCGTTTCTTAATCGCTCTCCCTCTTTTATTCTTTTGTCCTTTCACCTGTTCGTTTGATGTCTTCGAAAGCAAACTGAAATAAATCAAATCTAAATACGAACATGGCCGGGATTTATTAGCTCCTTTTTTATGGGGCTGGACGTCGATAAATAGGACGAACCAACTTCACTAGCACCAACTGCTTCAAGTTTGTATTAGACCCCAATGAAAATTTTGTTTTAAACTCACATTGCCAGGATTCTGAAATCTCGAAACTTCCTTCGGACTTTTCCGTTATTATCAATGCTGATCAACTTTTCTTGAAGTTGAGATGTTTATTCTGCTAGAATAAAAGAGAATATATTTATGAATAAAAAGAAAAGGAAAACTTATCTTAGCCTATGCATTTCCTCCTCTGACGGACATCATCAAGGCAAATCAAGGATTTTATTTTGTAACAAATATATATATACAAAAGCAAAAATGTTGTTGGTTTTTCAAAATTTTTATACTTAAGAACACTCATATATATTGATCCGGTTAGCAGAAAAATTCGGCAAATTATGGAGGAAGCAAAGTGCCACAATTCAATGTCTAATAAACGAAAGTGATTAATTGATGGTCTTGAAATATTTAAATATTTTTTTGTTGTGGATTCCGAGATGAAATCCGGTCTCCAATGAATGACAAACGCAGGAACGAAATATAACAAATAAATGTAATGACGTAATAATACAATTGGTAATACAGTTAGTAGATCCAGAAATGCGTTTAGTAGCAATAATAATATATATATATAGTCTGGGAAATTCAGTATCGAAGTATGACTTCCTTCTGAGTCTACGTGCTCGCAACTGTGACTCCTACAAAGCGGTTACCTCACACTCTCACTCTCTCACTGTATCACTTCCACTGTCACTCCCGGGTATTCACCGGCAGCAGTACAAGTACAAGTACACACTAGGCGTGTCCACTTGTATGAAAAAGGGGTGGACCCCATAACATTTTCAATGAAGTATTTAAGTTATTTTATTTTGGGATTAATTTATATGTCATATATATTTTTTAAATAACATGAAGCTATGAATTTAACCGTTTTCTTATAGTTTTTGAACATTCTAATAGTCATGTACGTTGGCTTGGAAAAATAGTAATTCTTTCATCAATGGAGATATTTGAAAAAATCCGGATCGAAGATTTATATTTTGATTAGATTTGATGGCTGCATTCTAGTAACTCAAAGTTGTAGTCGAATTTATTACTATGTATAACTAATGCGTATAAGATCCCTTTTGGGTTCATAGATATGTTTTATTTTATATTTATGTATGTATAAAATGTCCGTACATATAAAATAGAACGGACAACGAATGTTTGTTGAGACTTATGGCAATTATTTATTTCACTGGTTAACATATCGGCTTTTGTTTTATTTCCTTCAAAGTAAAACAACAATGAGCGGAAGTACTCGGAATGTTGCCCAAAATTTCGGGGAAATTCATTTAGAGTTTTACTTACACCTGACATTAAACAATATATTCAAAGCCATTGAAAACACACCAAAGTATCGGACAGATATTCCGTAAAACATGCGTAAACGAAGAATTGGTGCCTAAATATAATATATTTTGCAGATCATCTGTGTGGTTAGATATCCGATTGTTTCAAGCCGGGATCGAAACCAGACTGATTCGGCAAGGGTCGGAGATTTTCAACCTAAGTCATCGGCGTTAGGACGGAAGAAATGTGAATTTTTACGTACTTACTCTGTGAATAAACACGCCAATGACTGGGGGTGCTCAATTCAAAGAAAGGAAGAGACTTATATATATATATATATATATCGGCAGCATATATATATATATATACATATATATATATATATATATATATATATATATATATATATTAGCAGCATTTTTTTTCATTGATGCATTTTTCATTAAATAATATAGACAAGTGTTGTCTTTTTTTATGTAAATTCTTTTCATATCGTCTGATAAGCTTAATAACATTAATTATCATTAAACGAAGAAAGAAAATCACAATATTGATACATATTTTTTAATCCTATTTAAGCTTTCGGCTTACATAAACCATTATCAAAGATGACAATTACAATACAATATATTAAGCAATACACGGACAAATCAAATCGGCATATAAGACGCTGGAAGCAAAAATCGCACCGTATCTCATGATGTCACACATGACCACGCGAGAATGAAAACGAGAAGTATTATGTATGGGAAGCCGTTGGTATGAACCAATAGCTTCTGTTATCAATTATAGACATTTAAGAATATTTGTGGAGATTTCATTGTATATTTTGTTCAGGTTAGGTTTCAACTGTTTTATGTATATAGCTTCAAGAATTTTTAGTTTTTGTTTATTGTTTTCATGTTTAAGTATAGTTGGGTTTTCAACAAAGATTTTCCGGAATTGTGTATGCGGCCAAGTATGTTGTTTTAAATGCCGAAAAAATGATAGAGTTATCATTCAAATGTAGTGTCATATATATAAACAAGGAAAGAACAGTCATTATAATGAAGTATATACTGAGATGTGTTAAAAGAGAACACTCACAAATCACGCATAAAATCTACATCGCAAACAAAGGGAGAAGCTGCCGGACCTTCAGGGGAGATTCCTAAATATGATATGATATGGTATGATATATCGGTTGTCCTACGAATCCGAAGATGACGTGTCGTATCTGCCTCTCATCTGTGAACTCAGCCGATATGATAATATATATATATATATATATATATATGTGTGTGTGTGTGTGTGTGTGTGTGTGTGTGTGTGTGTGTGTGTGTGTGTGTGTGTGTGTGTGTTATGTGATATGTTAATATATACATATATATATATATGTGTGTGCGTGTTGAACCTTAATGATGGGACACATTTTAAATGCATGTATTTCTAAATGCAAGTATCTTACCAAATATATTTATTACATAACTGATATACAAGACTTCAACATATTATCTAAAAATTGAATATTACATCCCTGAGATGGTCACCATCAAGAAGAGAACATACACGAGTTCACTCTCTCATTTCAAACACAGACATTATCAGGCTCCACCGTTAGCAAAAGAGATATCAGATACCCGTAGGAAATAGCAAAATCTTAGATAATATTTTGAACTATTGTATGTCAGTTATTTAATAAATATATTTAGTATTGTATGTCATTTTTATAATCCAAGTTACTACTTTTGTCCCCCCGACTCTCTCTATCTCTCTCTCTCTATATATATATATATATATATATATATATATATATATATATATATATATATGTGTGTGTGTGTGTGTGTGTGTGTGTGTGTGTGTGTGTGTGTGTGTGTGTGAAAATATATAGAAAAGAGGAAAGAACTCGTTAGGTAAATAATCCAAAGTTCTTTATTATTTTTGTTATTATTTCTAAAAAATAGTGCTCGATACAAAAGTAGAGCATAAATATAATTATTTATTTAAAAGTATGATTCCAACACGCTACATAAGAGTTCTCATGTTTTTGGAACCAAAAAAATCGCTTGAAGATGGAACAGAGCTTACTTTAATTCAATTTAATTCAAATAATTATATTGAGGTTTCGGCTCTTGTTTTGAAACACGAGAACTAGCGTGTTGGAATCATATTTTTAAATAAATAATTATATATATATATATATATATATATATATATATATACATCATATCCATCGCCGATAGCACGACTCGAAAGTTTCATGCACGACGTAATCTTTAGGTGCTCAGTAGAGACTGGCCATTATACAATTTAAATTTTAAAAATATATATCTGGTTATCGCCATGTTGGTGTAGTTATATAGCATACTGGGATTACAGGTTTTTAATTTTAAAAATTATATTTGGCATTTAAAATAAACAGGATTTATATATATATATATATATATATATATATATATATATATATATCCAATGTATAAAAACATAATTTTAGAATTGTGAATATTATCTTTTTTTTTAATTAAAGGGTGATTACTTGTTCATTTTTTATAAAACAAGACAAAACAAAAACAAACCGTAATTTATCCTTAAAAATAAATCGTAATTTATATTAAAAATGAATCTGGATCAACGTATTTAAGCAGATATTTATTTTTATGCCTCCATTCAACCATCAATTCATTTCTCTTCTTTAATAAGCTAGGATTATGTAAGTGTTTTAAGATGATCAATTTTAAAGAAGACATAAGTTACATCTCTTTCCTTTCCTGTTATAAAATTTGGCCCTTTCTATAATATTCAAGTTGATGAAAGGAAAATTGTCATCACTCTGTAATTGCCAGAAATATTTGGAGAGGGCATTTTGTATTTTTTATTTCCTAAAGTCATTCGATGATGGCTGAAACAAAAGTTTCAAGGATTTTCAGTGAAACCAAAATAAAATTTAACATTGTTACCAGAATATATGCTCGCTCGGTATACAATATTATCAGTCATACATTGACCGTTTAAGAGACAGATCATATTTTTCGGCAGTTGCATTTGTTTTCAGAAAAATTTACGTTGTTTTTGTTGGAAATATATGTGTTTATTATAATGTTGTTATGTTGGGATATGCATTTCCCTATGTTATTAACGCAACTATAGCTGATCTTAACATTATTTTTGTTAAAAGAAACTTCTTTAGCGTTGGTGAATGGTTAAAATGCTTATGGATTAAATTTAGGAAAATTCTTCGATATTAGTTTGAATTACAATTAAAAGTTGGATTAAAAGTTTTATTAAGATATTTAAGAGGAAGGGAGATGGGTAAGGACCAGACATTGACCTATTTAATAAGTCATCTCACAGGAAACGAGATAAAGAGAAAAAAAGAAGTAAAGAAATAAGAAAAAGTGAAGTAAAGATATATAAGAAAGCAGAAAATTACTGACCTTGTGGCGATTGCGAGATAAATATCATAACGCAGGCACAAAAACCTATACTACTGCATAATGGTAATCTGTGGACCAAAAGAAGTAAGCCAGATTTTTTTCCTTGGGAAAAGCATACAGGTATCTCATCTCTCGAACATCATCATCGGGTT